TATTGCCTGCGAAGAACGGCCCAAAAGCGGTTGAGTTTTGGGAGGAAAAGCTTTCGCCACTGGTTCGGCCGAAGTGCGCCGCAGGAAAGCCTGTCAAACGTCAAGAAAGGCGATGAGTCCTGACTGGTACCCCAAGGAGAAAAAGAGGCGCAGCCGCCCTCGCAAGCTGACCGCCCGAAACGCCAAGTACATCGAGCAAACGAAGCAGCAGAAGAGCAGGAATTGGTAAATATACCCTTTTAGGCCCTTATTTTCCTACCTATCTTTGTATTTAGTATACTGACTGACGGTGCGGGGTTTGGGGCCGCACATACGGTAAGCTGACTATGGTGTTGACGCACCTACAGAGCGTAGATAATTAGACATGGAATCAACTGTGCACCGCTGCAAATTGGTGATTCCTATCCGTATACGCGTCACCGTAGATGGCATGTACACTCGCTCACGTGGGCACACGCAAAACCATGCTATCTGTACCATCAGCTCTTATAGCGGATATTTCACTAATTGGCGCTCACAAATTTAAACTACAGTATTGAGTGGGAGCTACGTGCGACGAATAAGCTGCTGTTGACATAGATACTACCACTGCGTGACAGTGCAGACCGTACAGATAGACGTGGCAAGTCGATATGTCTGAACGCAATATTGTACTTTAGTGTCCTATCCATAATGGCCGAGATGAGAGCTTGGTTGAGTCGCGGATGACTATAAGGTGTACCCGCCTCGCGCGTATATATCGCGTTGGCTATTGCTAAGAGACGCGCGTTCAGCATACCTGTATCGCTGCGGAATGGCCTGTGCCCAGTTAGTGACGCGCTTGATTATACAGACTAAAATATCAATAGCGTAAGCACAGAAAGCTAGCACGACGATGCAAACGTCCCGATAAGAAAATAGGGACCCCACGCATAGGTTGGGTATCACGAGCGCGTGGCAAATACACTCATTAACGACCTTGCGATATATGCACAGACACATCAAATAGCACGCCTAGCTGATAAGTAGGCAGCGAAAGTACTCCATCTAATGTACATGAACTATTATTCAATTCAAGTCTAACCATCACTACGATCTGATACTCTGCCTACGGCCATATATCTTCGTATGTTGCAGCCGGTCAAAAGAATGTGCAAGCAGTGGTGCCTCTTCGTCCGATCTGGACGAGGCCTTTTGTCGTACATATCGGACCCAGTATAATGTCAGTCGGAAAGGATTTACGCCACTCTATCAGTCAGTAGCTATACAAATAAGTCAGAAAGTACGTCAGCTATGCAAGTTAGATAAATGCATGCGGAATATAGTGGAAATACCCTTCAGTAACATCACAAACAGCTCAGCAGAATAATTTTAAAGCATAATATTGATGTTTGTGGCGACCATCGGCAAATACTACCTATCCTAAAAGATACTTCGCGCGCGGAGCTGATTAACGTTGCTCTATTCGACCGTCGCAACCGATGAAATGTGTCGACTGCCTCACGGCGATGACGCGCAGATGGGTAATATGTGTGAGTAGGCGTATTTACTCTAGCTACACTGGGATTCCTCACCGATCTACGCATATTTCGTAGCCTGGATCCGGATGAGTGTACCCATAATAGGGTACCATAATGATTACGCCATGGATCCGGTGGATCTGAAGATAATACAGCTGGGATGATGGGTCAAGGGAAGAGAGGGACATGCAGCCGAGCCTGGTAAGGGAT